AGAATTGATTGCTTTGATAGTCGGACCGAGCAGAAAAAAGTCGAACGATATCAAAATAATTGCAGGATGCATGTGACAGCAAGCTGAATGAGACAGTTGAGAAGAATGTGAAGGGCGTTGAGTGGTTGATTCCGCTAGCGTGTAAAATAGAAAAAAAGTCGTCTCTTGCGATGGTTGTCAAGCGTCCGATGATTAAGTGAACTGACAAAAGCGGGTCTAAATATAAATATTGACCCAAAAAAACTTGAAATTTGAAATGTACTCTACAGAAATAATGGTGTGGTGGTATTAGATTCCGGCGGCGATTAAGAACGGAAGAAGGCTAAAGCTGTGATTGAGACTACTATGCCTAAGCATTTTCGACATAATGCTTCTTAGCAAGATGAATCAAAGTAACGGATGGGGATGATGAACTCCTGGATGGGTTATATAGTCAAAATCCTATCTTTGGTGGCAGTACGCTAACCGTGAGGACATATGCTATTTCTAGACGAGGGAGAACACAGCATACTGCTGTGGTAGAAATTGATGCTAAGTTTTTCTCCAAGATCCTCGCTGCGGGTTCGTTGATTGGGCATTGAAAAAGGTGTCGTGTATTTGACGGAGGTCTTGATGTTAACCACTCTACCCTGAGCAAATTGCGTCCAGTTTACCTCAACAAATTAAGATTAGTGCGACAGAATGTCGGTTATGATGGGTGAGTAACATCTATAAACTTGCTGTGTTAACATGGAGACAGTCTTCAGAATTGTTAGTGAAACGCATAACAGATTTGGTTCATAAGCCGAAGATTGGCTACTCCAATTTCTTGTTGCATACTTTATCAGTTGATATTGTCGGTATAACTGAGACATGGTTCAAAACGTACAAGGTAGTGGTGCAAGAGGCGGCGGTACCGTCTGTTATATTACTCAATACCTGTGTGTCATAAGACTGAGGATGACAATGTTATGAAATCAGAGAAGGACAATGTTGTGACAACGCTGTTGAATATCTTGGAGTCAATATTAATGGTAGTTATTCGAAATGTCTTATATTAATGTGTATATAATCTATAAGGTAGACCTAGGAATAACTACTTAGATTATGTTTTCCGGGCTTTAAATGACATTTCTATTTTCTATGGCAATTTTGTACACCCTAGTAATTTATAATGGTGATTTGTCCCTAGATGATCTACTTGCCACTCGATTGCGTGACTCAGTCCCATCAGTGGGATTAAGAATTATTAATTCCTGGCCCACAGGCTTTGCTCTTGGTTGTAGGTCAGCTTACTTGGATATTGCTATTGTTTCTGATGAACTATAGCACATTATAATCAATTTTCCCGTCGATATTTCTGACCATAAGTTTTGCTTCTTGTTATGGACATTGTTATTAACAGTGACAGTGGTAAGCGAAGGTCATTTAGCTATAGAGAGTTTAAGTCAGTTGACTTGGAATGGCTAAGGGATAATTCCTTTCGAGCTAGTTGGAATACTGTTTGATATTTATCGATCTTGAGTAAGCAGGTTGCTTATTTAGAGCATCATACATACGAGCTGTTTAATGGTTATGTACCAATGAAAGTGTGTGATGTTTGTCTCTCAAATCCGCCATAGTTTCCTGCGGAGATTAGAAATGCAATCAAGTTCCGTAATGGCGTATATAGGAACAGAAGCGTTGTCTTAACGCCTTTAATTGGGAAGCGTATCGTAGATATAGGAATAGAGCGAATGTTGTTACAAGGGGTATAAAGAGACAATACTATTGTAAAACGTGTGAATTTTAGCTCGAAACTACTGTGGAGGAATCTTTGAGAAATTGACATTAATAAGAGCCCGCCAGTGTTCGAAGTTTGCGCTGATAGGTTTAATGACTACTTCTTCAGATCCAATTGTGTTTTGTGATGGGTTTTTGCTTTTATGATTATGCATTGTATCCACGCAGTAAAACCTTTCATTATCGGATTTTCACAAATGAGGAAGTGTAGTAGTCAGTGCATTGTATCAAAGCAAATGCTACGGGGCATGACAATATTAACAGCAGAGATTTGAAACTAATTCTTCTCGACATTATTCTGCCTTTGACTCATGTTGTAAATCACGTCGTCTACATTTCCTGATAGTTGGAAGGTAATTAGGATAGTTACTCCTATCAGGAAAAAACCATTGCCAGTTCTCCCTGAAGACTTCTGCCCACTTAGTATCCTTCCTTTTTTGTCGAAGGTTATGGACCGCTTGATGACCGATAAGCTAAGGCTGCATCTGCATACGAGGACATTGCTGTGTGCTAATGAATCGGGGGTGCAAACCTGGGCATAGCTGTAACATGGTTATGCTTAAAGTCTTAAAGCTTATATCTCATGGGGTTAATGTATATGATAGCTTACAATAAGTTGCAAAGTGTAGCTAACAATTGTGCTAGATATGTATTAAAAGAAATTCTGCATAAATCTTAAAGGAAAAATAGTTTTTACTTTTTATGGCTAATTCAAACTTTTTTGGTCATTAATTTTCTGTTTCGTTTGGTTTTTTTTTTTAGTTGTTTGTCTTCATTCAACTCCTTGTAAGTAAACAATTTTATTTGGGATTTATTTTGTTTTCAACTTACAGCTGCTTTCACTGCAACTCTAAACAATTAATACTAGTTAAAAACAGTCATAACTAAAGTAAAACGTGACATGTTTTGCTTTCGCCTAATTTGACAACTATGAGAGCGTGTATTTAACAGCTGTTGGGCTTACGTGACCGCAAAAAAGCGATGGGTATCACACAATATTGAATGCTGTCATCTAAGTGATCCCAAACCAGCCGAAAAACGAAAACGTCACCTGACTTTCAGATACGTTACTATCTCCTAGCAATAAAAGGAAAATAAAATCTAAAGAAAATTGGTTTACATACGAACAGAAATAAAACAAAAAATTTCAAATTAGTGAAAGGTAAATGAACTATTATTAAATAATCTCTTTTGCTCATCTTATGCCGCTTGATGGAAGGAGAAATTCAATGATATTTATTACGACGTAAACGCGTTTTTATATAAAATCGAGTCATAGATAGCTTCCGATGGGGGTAGGTAGAATATACTACTCGCATTTACCCACTGCAAGTCACTGAAACGAACAAGTTTTTGTTTTCACTATATAGATGAGGATACAGTTAGTCTTTAATCAACTATTAATGATCAGCTGGAAAAATTAGGACAAGTTGGCAAGTTAGGAATATAGTACTTCACAATTTTGATGAATGGAATAAAGATGATTGCGTGTCAGTCCCCACAATTCTGCTTTCAGGGACAAAAATCGATGCTTTTTTAAACAAGATTGTAATAGGGGATGAAAAATGGGTTACCTATGACAATAACGTCCGCAAAAACAGTGGTTGATAGGGATCAGTCATCACGATCAGATCCGAAAGCAAACACCATGGTAAAAAAATTTTTCTGTGTGCAATGGGATTGCCCAGGCATAATTCATTACGAGCTTCTGAAATCAAATTTAATGATAACTACAGACAGATAGGTCCAGCAGCTGCAAAGATTGCAAGAGAAACAGCAAAGCCGACTTAAAAGGAAATTCTTCAGCCTGGATGGTCCGTTTTACCAACCCACCTTACTTCCCGGACCTTACACCATAGACTAACTCTTTTTCTTACAAAACAACTTTTTGAATGGAAAAACCTTCAATTCTGAACCTTCAATTTCTTCTAGTCCAAGTCAACCATATTTTACAAAGAAGGAGTTGATAAATTACCAGGAAGATGACAGAAGGTCAAACATAATAGTGGCGAATACATAATAAATCAATATAATTTAGCTATAATTTCATTGAGAAAGTAAAATAAATGTCTACTAAAAATGGAGGTTACGTATGACTTGATCTAATGCAAAGGCTAATACTACATTTGTTTTTCAAAAACAATGATAAATCTTTTATACATTTTCTAAGTTTGCTAATGCGACTAGATTATGGGTTCTCGCTATAGGTTTACTTACATATAAATAGGTGTGAATGTGTGCACATATGTTCAATACTCACACAGAGGAAGATAATATTAATGCTTTGCCTAGAAATGAGCAATTTCAAATCGTTGAAAATAATGAAAATGAAAGAGGAAGCTAACTTTTCAGTATTTTTGCAAGATTTTATGCACACTTTATTAGTTAATTGGAGTTTTCCAAACTTTTTTAGATGTGGTGCGCCTGCGGGCTTGTATTTCTTGCTCTTTCCATAAATTTGTATTGATGCATTTGTTACAGTCCTAAATTTGCGATTGTTTCTACTTAAACAATTTTACAGTTTTCAGTCTAAACTATTGTACATCTGCTTGAATTTGTTTAACTTTTTTTCTTATGCGTTTATTTTAGACGTCCCAAACGTTGGTCTTGAATAACAGAGTCTGGACATATAAGCCACAAATCTATTGGCTTAGTCCATCTCTGTTCAACATACCAAAAAAAAAAAAAAAATGAAAAAAGAATAACAGAGTCAGACATATCTATCCGCTCTCTAGTGCGATTACGATAATGATCTCAACACTTTAGCGAAAAAGTGAAAATTCATTTTAGAATATTTGTTAAGATCAAAATATATATGTTATCAGTAAGACAAGAATAATTTGCCCATTCTTTCAACCTGATATGTAAAAAAACAGAAATCGAAGTCAAATAGTACTTTTTAAGAGTTGTAAGCCTTTTAGAAATTAAATTAATTCGTGGCCGTCTCATATTCAATTTCTGCAAGCAGAGAGAACGAATTTCAGTTCAAAGAATTTGTAGCCTTACGAATTTAGCGCCTTTCGCCATAACCTACAAGAATCCTGCAATCCATCTAAACGTTGATGGATTTCTTAAAGTTTAAAGCATTTAGCTTTAGCATCGTTTTAATCCATCCAAGACGGTCAAACGTAATTCAGCTATCTTCGCTCATTCCTTAGTTACACTCAAGATCAAGCTATAAAAGCAATAGCATAGATGTGATTTTATTAAAGATCAAAGTGGAAAAAAAAGACTTCCCGAATGGTGCATTATTGAATTTCTATTCATATTCTTATTCTCTTAAAATAAAGTTCGATTAGGAAATCTTTGTTATGTTCCAACTTTTTCTTTTCAAATTTAGATTTCCAAATATTTCAAACTATTATATTGGATTTAAGTTACGGTGTTTACACATTTATCTTCAAGGGTACAACTTAAAAAACTAATTGCCCCTGCCCCTTTCAGATGCATTTCATCTGATACTGACAACCGCCTCTTTACGTGCGGCATCCTGCAATAGTTGTGTATCGACTTCATCACCAGGCAGCTGAACATAACGTACCACCGAACCGCGTATAAAACAATTTTTTACCGATAACATGTGAGGGTACTTTTCCGGATCTGTTACGCTAATGTCGGTCAGTTTGATATTTAGATATTGGTCCACTGAATGTAAAGTGCCGCAAATGCTGCAAGAATTACCAAAAAGGATACTTAAATTCTTAAAACAAATAAAAGTAAATGTGATTGTCCACAGCGTACCTTAAATCATTTTTTAATTCCACCACTACATCTTTGCCAACCAATGATTTGAAGAATGAATAGAATAGCTGAAATAACGATGATTTTATTTTTATTCACATTGTTAGTTAATGAAAGAGTTTACCATGTTTTATCAACAAATTTGAAAACTGTTAAACATAAAGTCGTTTTCGCAGTGAAATGTCATTAAATAAAAGCTGTTGTTTATAAACAAGTGAAGTTGGTTGTCGTTATTTAGCCGCTAGTTTTAGAACACCGCGTAACTTAGTGAAGACCTGCGCACACAATTGCTAATTACGGTATGCCTTATGCGTGGCGCACGAATTGTCAAAAGAAAATCGATTGCACGTATATAAATGTAGATGCACTTGCGTTGCGTTATGCACGAACGCAAATTTTTGGCATATTTTTAAAAGTTGTGCGTGCGTCGTTTTTGAAAAGAAAATCAGTGATGTATAAATTATATGTGATTAAGTTTCATTTTCAAATGAAACGGAAGGTTGAAAAATTATTTTTTTCATGTTGGCGATAAACGTGGTCTGGCGGTAGCAAAAATCTCAAGTGCATTTGCTCTTTTTGTGTTATTTGCTAAAATACGAGAATGCTTGATGACACTGTGTGAAATTTCAATGGAACCAATCAGGATAAAGTAAAATATTATTTACTCTTGGAGAAGCAACCATATAAAATCAGCAGTCTTTTTCTAAGGTCGCGGACGCATTTCATTGTAAGCATCTAAGAGCCGATATAATCCAACACAAAATGGCAACTATCGAAAACGTCTAATTAGCACTTTACTATAAAGTTGTTGTTTCGCTTTTGTTTGTGTCGTTTTTGGCAAACGGGTTGGCACTGACATTGTATGGCGTTAACTAACTTTCGTTTTCGAGTTTCGACCTTTTTTGCTATATGTATGCTTCATTTGTAAAAGAAAGTAGCTGTAAAGTAAAAATAGAATGAATTGCAAGAAACATTTTTTACTTACAAACGGAGTGAACCAAAATAAAAAGTTTTAGATTTGTGAAAGGCAAGTAAATTAAATCGTTTTTTTTTTTGTTTTTTGCTTCAATTGTCTAATTATTAATCTTAGTTCGTTAAATCTCATATTCAGTTCTACATCATCAATCTTTCCATACGTTATGATATACTGTCACTATCATTGTCGCAAATAATGAGAACTCATCGCTCTATCGAATATATTGATCTTATCAGTAAATCCAAATCCATTTAACTTAACGAACCAAAAAAGAAAGATAAGTAAAAGGTTGTTATTAAATAATCAAGCAATGTTGAGAAATATATCACACATCAGACGCAATGGTTCCTTTTCTCATATTAAGTTACTTGGGAGTAGGGGAACTTCGGCAATATCGAAAATGTGTAGGTAAATGCCTTTATATATTTGTCTACAAAGTAAATTAAAATAAATATATATTATTAAATGTAGATTATCCGCCTGAGTGGCCGAGTAGGCAAGAGTCTCGACTAGCAACTCAATAGTCGTGGGTTCAAACCTCAAGTGCGGTAGAGTTTTTTAATAAAAGCTGATAGCCCTAGATGCTAGTGCTTTGAGACTTTAGTCTTAGAATTTATTCTCTGGCTAAATTTATAATAATAATAATAATAATAAATATAGATTTCCGTAAAAGTTTCACATGTCAAAAGAGGCTTTTGAATAAATTTGAGGAAAAGAGCGGAAAAGCAGGTACGATCCACGGAAGATGGGAAAATGGTTAAATGTTTGTGCAATCCTTCACAAAAATGCGAGTACGTGAGGAAATAAGAACCGGCATTTTTTTTAAACTTTCAAATTGAATTATAAAGAAATAAAATATATGAGGAGTAAATCCATTTTTGTAAAATTTGATAAGTTGTGTTTTATTTTCAGAAGCTGATTAAAAAGAAAAAAAATTCCTTTTAAAATACACTCTATAGGCGTTCCGTATACAGAAGGACAAAATTCAAAGTTTGAGCTTACAATCAAAGTGATGAGTAGAAATAAAAAAGAAAATTAAGTTAAGTTAATCTGAATCACTTCACTTCCGAAATCACGCGATCGAATTAAATCATTCTTTCCCTTGGCTAGTTTTGACTTACTGCCATTCAACGACTTAAAGTCATCTTTAACTTCCGTTAACAGTTGCAGTATTCGCTCTTGATTTTGCAACTTTTTTCTTGTTTCGTCGTTAACCACTATCAAGGTGCTCTTTAAGCACATTTAATATGTGAGAGTTCAGAGCCTTTCCAAACTTTTTTGCGCTCTCATCACATATGCAATTACTTTCGCTTCTTACTTGGAATGTCGTTCCCGGTCTTGCAGTCTATCACGTGAAGGGTTCTAAACATATATAAAAAACCATTAGAAAGTCAAAAATTTTGGGTTACAAGCATAATTACGGTCGCGGCGTCTCTCTTATGAATGTCGACGTTTCGCAAACGGTCGGCATCGGTCGTTTGCAAGCGTTTTAGTTCATGCTACATACAGCTCGATAATTCTCTTTTCCACCTGCTCGCTTGACCCTCCTTTGCGTTTTTTAGATGCAATTTGTTATCAGTCAGCTTTCTTTTTGCCTTGCACTTCTCTTGCGGCGTTAACTTACAAAAAACTCGAAAACATTGTCGTTTTAGTATCAAGATTGCCCAATCTTTCTTACTTATTTAATACTCAGGTAATTCCGTACCGCACTTGTAAGTATTCGCGCCAGTTCGGAAACCAATGCAACTCATTGGTTGCAATCTTTGATTTGTTTTTTCATACGCTCTTTTTATTCTGTTAAAAGTGCTTAGCATTTCGAACGAGGGCACGCCCACATCACCACGTAAACTGAGAACGCCTCTGTTTTTCAAAAGGAATGAAAAATTGATTTGTTGCTCATTACTCATAAATTGTAGCAGATAAATGTACAAAAATTTGGACGCATATTCTATGGGCGATAATGTTCATCTATCTGTTTGCGCTACTGCGTAGTATTTGTGGTAAACATTCTCCCGCTAGCGAAAATGAAGATATCACCTAGAAATTTGCAAAAGACTTTGATAGTGGCCTAAACTTTTCAAAGGACACGCCTATAACGCCCACATGCCTATGTGGCAAGAACTTTCGTTTTGAATTTAGAAAAAATCAGCTGTGTTCACTTCACGTTATAGAGCATGAAAATTTAGTTCTTTTACTTTTTTGTCATTTTTAGGATAACGATGATGGGTATCAAAAATTCGGTCCCGACCGTATTTAATTTTCTCAATTGTTTTTATGTAGGTTTGTATCGTTTTGTTATTGACTATATCATTGCAAACAAACCAACGTCAAATTTTCCCCTGATTTGGCAATTATTGTTTCGAGTGATGAAAGCTATACATAATTCTCAATCATATGGTTTTCAAGATACGCTTTCTAAATGGAAGCTATTTTACTAAAAGACACATAACCAGTGGAAGTTGCCTGAAGTAACCTGTAGAAGTTGCACTATATACTGTAAAGGGCTATACTTGTAAAGTAGATTTAGTACCTGTTTGACTTTATGGAAATACCATTCAGAGTCCATGTGTAGTTTTTTCCTCATAAATCAGTTGTCGCAGCTTTCTGATTTGTTTTTACATGTTCATTCATTTCTTTCATTTCTTTCTTTCTTTCTTAGTAGTAGTAGTTTATACGGTTATGGTTGATTAGTATGAGTTTTTTAAATAACTTTGCCATGTTTTCTTTGGTTGCAGAGCTATAGTGATTTGCTAATCTTGATTATTGTATAAATAGGTTTAACGAGTTGTTGAATTATTTTACTTGAGGTGACTGAAAAAATCACAATTTCAATAATTCGGCTCTTACGTCAGTTTTGTATAAGCTTATATATAATAGAAACTTATATAACAATTGAAAAGTTTTTTTATGGAGGCTCCGCAAAATGCATTTACACATTCATCTACTGATATAAATAAATGTTAAATCCCATGCGACTTTTTTTGAGATAATTTTTTTTATGCAAGCAAGAAATCATAAGCCGTGCTCGGCTTAGGCGAATTTCATAATATATACCATAGATTTATATTGAAATGAGGGATACAAAAATTTGGCTACTTAGATAAATAATGTATATTATATATACAGTATACAAATGTGTGTTATCCGCTTTTTTATGTGAGTAAAAAAAGCTGTATCTGCATTCTTTGTGTTATACGTTTTGAAATTTTACGAATTTGAGATAACAGTTCCAACAAGAAACAAGTTTAGATCACTTTCCAAGCGGCAGATCAGAGTTTGAGTTTGTAGTCGTCTATGTAGAAAGGAGACGATTTGTGGATGTTATTCATTTTTGAGTTTATTCTGAAAGAATCCGAATTACGCTCTTCTGTTTTAGATAACGTTGTCTGCTACAAACGGATATTAAATGAATTCCGTCAACTCACACTTTTGTTACAAATTGAATGATCACTTAACTATACTTTCATTTTCTGATTAGTTAGTATAGTATACGCCCCATTGTCTATTTTGCTACAAATAAAAGGCTGATAACTTGGACGCCGTTAGTTGATGGAAGAAAGTTAAACCGCTATAATTGAAATTATATGGCAAATCAATCAAGAGTAAGCAAAAGTTCGCCAAAAGTGTGAAAATAAATTTGAATTGCGTCGCTTGGCTGTTCTTGGGTGTACACCCCCAAAGGGAATAAAGAGCTAAGAAATCAAGCAAAATGTCCTTGCGATTGAAGTTGCTAAAATTATATTTAAGTTTCCCTATTTTTCTATTATGTGCAACAGAAACGAGAATAGCAGCGACTATGGTTGAATATCCTAAACAGCCGAAAATATCGGTTAATGATGGAACTCTTGTATTGGAGGCAGCACATGGTCGCAACATTACTTTCCGCTTATCTCGTGACTCTTCGTTGTGTGTTAATAATGTCGATGTAATGGAAAAAATTAGACACCGTAACGCGCCTTCATCGCTAGACACGGAAACCAAGGACATTGATATCGCAACAGCGGAACAATTTAAGCAAAACATGCTTGTGCTGCAATGGGATCTGCAAGTTTTTGCTGAGCGTTTGTTGTCAATGCAAAATAATACACGATCAATATTGCAATCGCGTGTATTACGCAGATATCTGGGGCGTATACGTCGTTTGAGCGGACGTCAGGTGGCCATAGAGCGCGATTTACTCAATAATGAATGTACAAAAAACTCTACACCTTGTAAGAATGGTGGCACTTGTTATGGCGGTTACAAAGATTTTTATTGCGAATGTACCGAACGATGGACAGTAGGATATATAAATATAGACATTAAGTGCGATTTTACCAACATTTTTTTTTTTTTTTTGTTGCTTTTTAGGGTGCAACCTGTGAGCAAGATATAGATGAATGCTACACTTTAGCTGGTACTGAGCTGGGATGCCAAAACAATGCTATTTGTATTAATACCCCAGGAAGTTACACGTGAGTTATTTTCATCCAAACACATTTCACATTTTTTTTTTGTTTTTGTTTTTGGTGTATAAACGAAGAGTGCATCAGGTCTGTAAATGATAATATCTGCACTGTGAGAATCTTTTTTTTTAATTAAGGTCTAGCCTGATCTGCTGTCAGACAAAACCATCTATAACCTGTCTGATGGGTAGAAGTTCAGTAAAAGTTGAAGAAAGCTCTTGCAGGATTTTTAATTGTGAAACTAAAGTCTTTTCCGACATCTAGCTCGACGACCTAACTGTGGGAAATGCTTTTGTTGTGTCAGCACACAGCAGCATTGATACAAAGAGATTAAGGTCTATTTTACGTATACTTTCTATATACTTTTTTTGGGAAAGATTTGACTTTGTCGAAAATATTATAAAAATTTAAATAACAACTTGTGTAGCTGCTGGATATTTCACATGACCTGCAGATTATTATCTGAAAGAAAGATAGTCTGATGGCTTTGTCTTTCAGAATTTCTTTAGCTGTCAGAACTAAAACTCTCTCAGAGATCAACAGTTCATCAGATACGCCTCTAAGGATGGAAACCGGTGTGAATGCGAAGAGACTTGTACATTGTCCTAGCAGTTTGTTTTGAAAAGTCTGTAATCTTTTGGTAACATAGTCATGAGAGGAGAGGAATTATTTTATTATTGAGCGAATGAATAATTTATAAATTGTGAGTGCTTCTCTTGAGAAAGGTCACGTACGAAGGCAAATCATCAGATTGACGATGTTATACCCAGACTGAGAATCATTAAGAACTTCAGAGTAATATTCTTGCACCACTAGAATTGCTTTTATGATCCTGCCGTGGAACTTAAAGGAACTCTTTTGGTTTACTAGTGTGCAGTTCAACTGTACTGTGTATGAACTTTCTGGAACCTTTCGCAAAATACCTTGCGTTCGTTTGATTTGGGTTGAAACTATGGTTAAGGTTTCTGCAAGCACCGAAGAAGAGATTAGCTGTAGTAGCAAGGTTTTGAACTGCTTATTCAAAGGATTTACCATATTGGAAAATGTGTATTCTGCCACCCCGAAGTTGATGCAACGTGGCCATATATAGATTGAAGAGAACAGGGCTAAGGCAGCTTTCACTACGGTAGTCCCAAGGAACCTTAACAGGGTCAGAATCCATAACTAGGATGTGGAATGAAAAGCAATTGAAAAATCCAGAACCTCAAATGAAACGGTATATCAAACTCGTTAAGAATATTACCTAATTTACTCAGTTCAACACCGTCACAGTCTTTGTTGATGTCAAGAGAGAGCATCACAACTTTTTTCCCTCGAAATTGTCAAAATTAAATCATTTATACACCTGTTGATAGACTTGTATTATTGATACTCAAAGGAACTATCAGTTATACGACTATGTGTATACAGAAGAAACATGAGTCTTTCCCTTACCATGGAATTTGTAACCTTCATACGAACCGAGGTGAGAGAGATGTGTTTATAAGTAATCAATTTGTCAAGATTCTACCCGGGCTCTGGAATCGGAACAATTTTTATACGGGGCCATTCATTTGATTTGATTTTTTTAGCAGACAGAGGGAACTTTGATCATATCATATTTAATCCCGTCGCATCCCGTACCAGAGAATTTTTTCGTTCTATGCAGAGTCGCCATAAGGTCATCTAACGAGAAAGGCGAGATTGTAACATCAGGTAGTTTTAAGGAAGGAATAGCACGCGAGTTGTTTTTAAGTAAGGTTAGGTATAGCTTATTGTTGGCTTCATTCCATGTTGAAAAATTAAAAGTTTGCTTAGGTTGGTGATGACCGTTTAAGAACTTTCAAAAGGATCTTGTGTTCCCATTAGTGTTCAATTCTTCAAATAAAAGAGTCCTATAATTTATCATTGAGTCATTTTCGGGTATTTGGGTATTTTTTCCAATCAGATTCTTCTTGGTTAACACAAACATGCTACTATGGTAAGAAACGCAAGCAATGTGTTGCATGTAGATATATTTTCCAATTTTTGTTCATTTTATTAATGCGATCAAAAAATGCAAAGGTATAAAGGTAAAGGTATTGTTACGCAAATTCCAAACCCAGTTAATTTCAGCTAAGTAATTTTGCTTAATAATAAATTCCCTAAAGAAGTAAAAACTAAATGCGCATTCGCAAGCGCGTCATGCAGCTGTAGGCCGATGAAAACGATTTGAGGAAAAGCGGGCTGGGATTAGAAATAAAACCATATTTTTAGGTATAGTAACATGCTTGTAAAAAGGAATATTTGTGAAAGGGGGAGTTAGTCGGGCAAGAACCTAGACGTTGAGAGTACGGCCAAAATAAATTGTGAATAATCCTACATTTACGGAACATAATTGTTAGTAAATTATCCTACTGTTAAGGAATATAATTGTAAATCAAAGAACTTTGAAGTGTATCCACGATCCAGTGATATGGACTGTATCTTCCAAAAGCGAATTTTATAACAATATTATGAAAACGTGCTACATAAATAAAAATATATTTTCTAGTATGAAGAAAAGGCACTGTGGGTATAAAAAAGTTGGATCCTAATCGAGTACTATTTCCCTTTCGTTTTAGATGTTCCTGTGCTAAAGAATTTACAGGCGTCCATTGTCGTGCTCGTAACGTTGCTTGCCAAGATGGTTATTCTTTTGATTTATGCGGCCATGGTACTTGCATATCGGCCAACAATAACCAAGGCTTCACTTGCCTGTGCGACCAAGGTTGGTCTAAGGTCAAAAGCAACGATTCGGCTTCATCTCCCTGCACTGTCGATGTTAATGAATGTGAAGAATCTAGAAATCCTTGTCATGACCAATGTATTAATTTACCTGGTACCTTTAAATGCGGTGCTTGTCCCGTTGGTTATACTGGAAATGGGCTTACTTGCGTAGATATAGATGAATGTGCGGTCGGTAATGGCGGATGCAGTTTAGTACCTAAGATTAAATGCATTAACACTGAGGTTTGTACGCTTTTTTTTTCAACAAAAATATCTTTTCATCACATTTTTTTTGGTGATATCTATGTCTAGGGCTCTTATCATTGTCGCCCGTGTCCTAGTGGATGGACGGGCGACGGTCATACTTGCAATGTGATATTTTCTAATTCATGTGATGATGAGAAAATCTGTCACCCGCGTGCTAAATGCCAATATATATCGGGTGTGAGTACCTGCACCTGTCCAAATGATATGTTTGGTCATGGTTTTGGTGCCGAAGGTTGTCACGACAATCCAATAAGAGATTTTTGTGAGAATCACTTATGTAAAGTAAGTGTAGACTTTATGCAATTCATATATATCTTTAAGAAAAACCAAATTGTGTAAAATATAAATTAGGTGAAAAATTTGGATGTATTGAGAACCACATTTTTACTCGTTCAGTGCTAACTATAACTATAAACAATCAATTTATTTTGTTTATGCAGTAAGAGCCCCAAGTTATACAAATTTATTCTGTTTTTCCATCTGGCCGATTTCTTTTTTTCTGCAATGACGTTTTCATTCACTAAGCTCTGTATTCGTCCACTTGCTCACTTAATTCTCCCTCAAACAAGGCTAAAAGAGGCAGGAAATTATGAAAAAATAACCTGGAAACAATTTGAATTAATTTTGTTGATAATTGTTAGTAATTTGCCAACCATAATGTTTAGTAGAAATACTTACGAGAACTACTTAAATATTGATAGCAGTTAACGTACTCCAACACTTAGCAAACGTTTTCTTAGACAATAATCGATTGAAAATGCAACGGTTTGTTTATTTTAAGAACAATGGAACGTGTTTAGTAACTGGTCGTGGCACTAGTTGTCTATGCTTGGATGGTTACTCGGGAGCGTTGTGCGAGACTGCTGACGCTTGTCATCCGAATCCTTGTGAAAACAATGCCTTCTGTCGCCTTATGCCGAATGATAAATTCCAATGTAGTTGTCCACGCGGCAGTACGGGCAAACGTTGTGAGATCATGCGCAGTGTTTGCGGCACTATTGTAAGTAGAAGAACTGGGAGTTTACACTATCCCATGGACGATAGTCACGGATACTCAGATAGTGAACGTTGCGCTTGGATAGTGCGCACCGACGTTGGGTATATTTTAAATGTTACCTTTAGTGATTTTGATTTGGAAATGGCCGAAGATTGCACTCGTGATTGGTTGCAAATACACGATGGCATCTCATTGGCCGCCCAATTAATAGGAAGATTTTGCGGTAACACGTTACCCTTAGGCGGTAATTTTCTTTCATCCCACGAACAATTATTTTTCTGGTTTCGTTCTGACAATGCCACCAATGCCAGAGGTTTTACCATGTCATGGACTTCGGCAGAGTACGTGTGCGGAGAGACTCTAAACTTAAATTTAAATGACGCAGGCATTGTTAATTCGCCTGGTTATCCGGGAAAAACACCTACGAAACGTGAATGTGAATGGTCACTAAATGCTCCCTACGGCAGTCGTTTTGTTTTAAGAATATATGAAATTAAGTTGGGTTCAATGCCTAATTGCACGGGGGACGTCCTTAAGGTATGGAACGAATGAGCTAAGGGAACGAAACTTCATTTTTAAAGCTACGCATTTGTTTTAGATATATGACGGCGGTGTTCTAACAAAATCATTCTGTGAAACGGCTAAGCCTGAACCGTTTCGTACCTCGTCCAATAAAGTGCTAATACACTATCATACCGATACATTTCAAACGGACAGTTCCTTTCAATTACACTACGAAGTGGAAGCAGGCGTTCCACACTGTGGTGGTATATTTACAGAATCGAGTGGTGTCATAATAAGTGCTACGGATCAGCCAGTATGTTTGTATCTAATACAACAGCCATCTGGTATTCAAATTAAACTGGAATTTCTTCAATTTCATTTCGGTCAAGCTGTTAGTTGCAACTTACACGTTATTGAAGTGTTTAATGGGAAAACGAGTCAAGATCCTTTACTGCTAAGACTATGCAGTAATGATAAACCGCCACCGATAATAGCAGAATCAAATTATATGCTAATACAACACAAACATCTGTTGCACAATTCTGAAAGCGAACTTATTTTTAAGTTGAAATACAGCAGAGGTAAATTGAAAGCGTAAAATCATTTTTAAAAGGATTTGAATTCTTTTTTGATTTGCAGTTTGTAATGTGAAATACTTCGGCCCCGACAGCGGTAGAATTTCCACGCCCAACTATCCTAAACCATATTTTGACGATATTACTTGTACTTATGAGATATACGGCCCGGCTAACACCATAGTTGTGGCCAATTTTACAGACGTCGACATTGCCGAATCGCCCGAAAGTACCGCACAGAATGAAGAAGATATTGAGGGTACTACAAACCGAAATCTTAGCTCTCCCCTGACAGATGATATTCCCAATCGGATGGATGTAAGTTTTATTATTAGATTACTTTACCGGAATAGATTGAAATTTGTTTACGTTGCACGCTGTTAGGTCTATCTTTCCAAAACTGTTAAAAGGCGTTATTTTAAGGGATCTCCTATGCGCCTTGTATCTGCTATCAATCAAATGACTATCGTTTTTTACGCCGGAAACAATACACGTCGTGCTCGAGGCTTTCATGTTGAATATAGTTTTGATACTCTGCCATGCGGAGGAGTATATACCGATAACGAAACCAGATTTGATTCAACAGTAACGGAACGAACCCTACCCACAAATGAGGACAGCGAAGGGTTTGTAAAAATAAAATCTGTTTGTGAATGGATTGTAGAAGCACCCGTTGGCAGACATATTGAATTATACTTGCATTATGTACCGATGGGGAAAAGTATACCACTCCTGATATTTGGAGAGTCCGCAACCGGTCAACATTTGCTTTTTAAGTAAGACTTTAGAATTCGTTTGTTTTTTAACTGCTTATTAGCGTATTGTAGCATAACCGAAGAAGGAAGACATCGTGAAGTGTTTTTCTATGATAGTTTGACAATACAAGGTTTAGTTAGTGCCACCTATCGCATATCCGCGGAAGTGACGTTTTTGAACAGTTTGGCAGGTATTTGTGCAAAACACCAAATTAGCGGAGCTGATATGTACCCCTTAAGATTTTTCCCCTTTTTAAGAGTGTGGAGGACATTCTATTGCTAGCTATGGCATCATTAAATCTCCGTCATGGCCCTTTTCTTATCCACCAAACGTGGAATGCCTTTGGCAAATAGAAGCTCCCGTTGGCTATCAAATTGAACTGCAAGTACAAAATTTTACATTGGAAGACACCTGCAGAGCAGATGTTTTAGAAATAAGGTTAGTCATTTTTTCTCTTTAACAGCAATTGATCATATATACTGAAGCTGTTTCATTTCTTTTATTGAAGAAACGGTAGATATCCTTACTCGCCGCTGATCGGCCGATTTTGTGGATCAGAGATACCTTCAAGGATTACGTCGTTTACCAATGGCTTATTCGTAAAATTCGTTACTGACAGTTATATTGAAAATCAAGGATTCCACATCACTTGGTCCCAAACAGTAACTGGCTGCGGTGGTAAATTAACCTCATATATGGGATCTATAAATTTACCGCATTATTATTCTGGCGACTATCAAGGACAGTGCAATTGGCATATAATTGTATCGCAGGGCTCCATAATAGAGCTAACTCTGCATAAAATGAATTTTGTGGAATTATGCACGAATAATATTTTCAAGATTTATGATGGTCCTTCAACGTTAAGTTCTCAATTGAAATTTAATTGCTCGGACCTCAATAACGCACCAGCAAATCAAAAATTGATTTCTTCTATGAATGAAGTTTTAATAATTTATTCGTACACCAGCCCATTATCACTGGTTTTTGACAATAATTTGTCCTTGACGGACTATGGCGATACACGGTATATTATAGATTATATAACGATATGTCAAGCGCTTATTGACCGTGTACAGGGTGTTATAGAATCTCCTAATTTCCCGGATTCTTATCCTGAAAACCAAAATTGTTTATGGGATATTAAAGGGGGACAGAAAAATAAGATAATGCTCTCATTTTCTCATTTGAATTTGGAAAACGATATGAGTCTTGCCTGTGATTATGACTACGTAGAAATAATTGATATGGAAAACGAAGAAGTTCTTAAGCAGAAACGCATCTGTACACCTCAATATGAAGCAATAAAGACAGAGGGCAATCGGGTCAGATTAAAGTTTGTCAGCGATTATTCTCAAAATAATGGTGGCTTTCGCGTTGAATATACACGTATTGGTTGTGGTCAAGCATTATATAAAAATTTCGGTACTATTAGTTCACCAAACTCACCCTACAGTTTTGATGTGGACTGTGAATGGTATATAGAGACTCAGCCCGGTAAAAAAATATATCTAAGCGTTGAAGAATTGTATCTTGAAAGCGACAGTCATGACTGCAAAGAGGATGCGTTTATCGTGGCAGAAAGCAAAAATTATGTACTCCCATTACTAAAAGAATGTCAGGCAGAGAAGACTACTTTGACAGTAACATCCCCCGGCAACTACTTATACATAAACTTCCGGACAAGTGCCAAACGAACGCGTAAATACTTTAAGGCTTATTATCATTCCGAGTATGCAGATTGCGGTGGTATTTATCGAGCTAATTCCGGTTATATTACATCTCCAAACTATCCAGCAAATTATACACGTCCGCTGCAGTGTTTTTGGTACATTGCGATTCCTGCAGCTTACGGCGTTGAATTGAGATTCGAAGATTTTGATTTCCCTGAAACGCAATCTTGCAGCGACGCCGCTTTGATGATCTCAAAAATGAATAACACTCTAGACCTTAGGCACGAAATTCTTTGCGGCAGACAAATGAACATTGTCAAGCGTATACATGGTCATGAAGTACGGTTGAATCTTAAGATCAATAACACGAATGGTTATGGGAAATTTTTTCTGCGTTATCGCAAAGAATGTGGCGGAAATGTAACCGCTAGTTCAGGTTATTTGCTCAGTAAAGCAAATGAAGAATGCGTATGGCAAATAACTTTGCCGGAAGGTATGTACGATTTACACATGCTTAGTCTGCATACGTAGGACCAAAATTAAATGATTTTCTTCATTTCGTAGGTAGTCAATTAAATTTAAATATATTACAGCTGGATTGCTATTGTAAGAAATCAAATCCTAGTGAACGTAATTGTGATAATGGATTAGGGGTAAGTGAAGGAAACTTTGAAATGTCCCCAATAAGTTTTAGTAAATAAAAGCCTATCATTTGCGATCCATAAAAGCGAAATAAGTAGGGAATCACTCATATTGTTCCTGTTATCCTAACACATATTGTTATGGTATCAACGGCATCAATATTTGGCTAAGTCCGAGTGAGTTACTTTAGGTATATCTGTTCAATTAGTAACTAAACAAGGGCCAGGGCATGCTTTTTTATTGCTGATGTGTACAATAACTATATATTCACATGCCGCATTGCTTTGTCAAGTTTGCTTTAAAACAAAAATATGACAGAATCCTGGAATGTCATCAGCTACACATGGTTCGCCATTTATTGATAAGCACTGATATAACAATGTTACTTGTCGGGATTATCTTTATGCTAGCCAAGAAATAGACAGGAAATCGTGAATTGGAAAGAATGATGACTTCCGGAAAAAAAATTACGAAATTATGGCTTGGTTGATTGGTTGTTGAAGCAAAATGATAAGTGTTGCGGCTTGTGAAACACTTTGTTTGAGAAGAAAAATACAACAAGGCATCCTTTATATATGCTCCCAGACTAATTGGAGATTTTCGTGGACATAAGCAACACAATACAGTATAATTTTGTTTATAGTTTACAGAAAGCTATTTTGAAGAAATCGATGCTGGTAACTTCTCTTTCCAATATTGTGAACACCATCTATCGAATCTAATCTTTAACGGGCCAAAGGTATATATAGTTACGCGTAATATTAACTTTCATGCCGGATATGATACTACACAAAATTCTTGCGGCGGATCTTTGAAGTCGTTGCGTGGCTCTTTAGCGTCACCGGGTTATCCGAATCCATATGCCGGCGATGTTGATTGCGTTTGGGATATACAAGCGGTCAATGGTAATAGCATCGAATTAAATTTTGTAGATGTGGATCTGGCGCCATCCAAATTTTGTAACCAGGATTTTATAGAAGTCCGTCGATCAGAAACTGATTACGTAATAGGTTTATATTGTGGAAAGCAATATCCTGAGAATACCATACAAGTTTATGACAAAGTATTAATAAGATTTCATAGCGAAGCAGGCAGCACAGGTAAAGGTTTCAAGATGGAGTGGAGTTATGGTAAGTACTCCTTGATGATTTATATTGACGAAAGAAAGCTTCGAATTACCCTTTTAGGTCACAAAAATGAGTTTAGAAATCAGACAAAAGGTTTAATACAAGCACCACCTGTGAAAGCTGCTGGAAATGAAGAAGAACCATTCAGTTGGCGTGTGCTAGTTTCCAGAGAATCTTATATAAGCTTAGAGTTTCTGCAATACACTGACGGTTTAAAAGTGAGTTTAATTAAAACAACTAGAAAGTTAAACCTAATATCTATTGATATAATACTTTATGCATCGTATATACGTGATTCACATTTTTAAACAAACTGCCGGCACTTCGTAGCTAATCGCACATACTATGTATAAGATTCATGCATGACCTTAGTTCGGAAATCCTAATCGAACGTAAAAAGATGATAAATAGCAGTGAATGAAGTGTTAAATGTTATATTTATTAAAAGATTAAAAAAGTAGGAAAGAAGAGTCTGATTGTTACAATTCCTAATCCTTATACTGATTTCACTATTGTCTCTTCATATTTTTCGCCTGATTTTCCCATTAACACATATAAGCGAGAATTTTTAATTTTTCTTTTTCTTCGTGAAGACGATGTGAGTAATGTTTTCTATACGGCGACATCAGAGTCCGACATTCTGCGATGGCGACGATCACGATTCGCTAAGATGTAAAATCTTCTTCTTTACAAGAACTTCTCAGGATTGCTCTATATTTTTTCTTTATCAACTCTTGTTTTGGGCAATAGGAAGATTATTCTCAAGGGGTCTCTGTCACAGCTTCTGGAACTGAGTATTCAATTACCAGAGAATTTTTGAATCTTATCATTTCGATTAAACGCACCGGTTCAAATCCTCGAGCGAATCTAAATCTTTCTAGTTCTCTTAAAATAGTAAATCCCCAAAAATATTCAGCGAAGTCTTCGGCCTGACAGCGTCACATTAAATTATCTATTTTTTGGAAAAAATTAATTGACGGTCGTCCTTACGTCAGAGGAAATCCATTGCAGCGGGTACATTTGAGCAAATCATTTATGAACTGATTAATGCTGCCAAAATCCTTGTTTGCTTATTATTATTACGCTCGGGGATCAGTGAAAATTGTACCGATTAACAAAATTTATCTAATTTTCATATTTACCTCAACTATTTTAATAACAACATATAAGAAGTAATCATAACCCTCTCAACACAAACTTGCATGATTTAAGGTTATAATCAAAGAAGGGGGGAAAAGTATTTTTGATAATAGTGGCCCCTCCGTTGTTAGTTGATATTTGCGCAGACAGCGGCGGGAGTGATAGGAAGATATTTGAGACTATGTTTGCTTTTGTAGGCAAAGCTTTGAGGTCTACTTGTGGTTTTTATCGACGCAAAGGCCACAGATAGATATGTTTTAATCGAATCCGCTGTTAATAGAGTATTCTGTGCGTTGTCATCATGCTACAAATCTACAAAATTACAAATATTTGGTTTACTTTCTCATTTCGCAGTTGTTTGACGGCTATGACAACGCGGCGCTTGAAGTAGAAATATCTTCCGTCATGCCTTGGCGTTTCGTATCCAGTACTGATGTGTTATTTCTGGAAACCGTTAATCTGAATTTAGAATATTTTCTTTTAAACTGGACCAACACTAATCGTAAGCCAATTAGCCAGAACGTCACCAATAGCAAGTGCTATGCCGATCAATTTCTGATTAGTCCAGCAAGGGTAAACGTTTCTTCACCCGGTTATCCGCGTGGATACGAAAATAATTTAAACTGTCGGTGGGTTTATAAACCTGAACTTCCCACCGAGCATGTGGTAGTGGCACTGTATCGAGTTAAGTTAGAGATAAGTGACAGTTGCAACGTCGATTATTTGAAGGTATCTACCTCTACTGACTTGGAGCGTTGGCACACAGAGGTACGCATTTGCAATAGTACTAGCGAAACGTGGCAACCTTTCAAAGTCATTCATGGCACTCCCCATCTGAAAATCGACTTTGTAACGGATCCGTCAGTGAATTCAACCGGTTTTACTTCTCTGGTGTACACACAGTGCGGCTCCAACCTAACTGACAGTGTAGGTGTCATACCTTTTCGTACATATTGGTATATGACAATGAGTCGTACATGTCAGTGGCGCATCTCGGTGAAACCAGGTAAACGCGTTAATATTCAATTGGATTTCCCCAAGAACGCTTCACGGTATGATCGTGATTGTCGTTCATATGCTTTAATCTATGATGGCATTGATGACCATGCTCCGCTGTTAAAGCCAGGGAAAATATGCAGTCAACAGAATAGCCAAAAGCTACTCTTGGAATCGTCTACACGTCATGTTATTGTTAAGTACACCGTAAATCGTACAATCGGAGAGTCCTTGCTACTGTGGAACTTAACCTATCGCGAATATTCGGAATGTAATACTGAAATAAAACTAACATATGAAGTACCCAGCGCTAATATAACGACTCCGCGTTACCCAAACGTTCCCAACCCTCATACCGATTGTAATTGGATTGTTATGGCACCGCCTGGTGAAACGTTGAAGATTGAATTTCTCGATCACTTCAGTATGAACGTTCATTACTGCAATAAGGAATATGTAGAAATGTTTGATGGCTCCACTGAACTGTCTCCCAAAATTGGTCGCTTTTGCAAACGTCCATCAGAAAAGCGAACAATAGGAAATATTTTGTTAATACATTATATAACCGACATATCTGAACCACGTAATGGTTTTCGAGCTCGCCTGAGTTTGAACAATTGCGGCGGCACTTTTACTGATGTACGGGGCTACATAACTTCTTCCGGTTACCCAGCTACTGATGCTTATCCCGCCTACAGTCAATGCGATTATTACTTACGTTCCCCGGTAGGTGAAGCAGTAAAACTGGAAATAAAGGATATAAATTTACCTTACAATTATACCGATAATAGCGCCTCTGATTATTTAGAAATTACGGATCTAAATAACGATACAGTTGACAAAAGCGCTAAGCCCATTCTTTTGTATGGCAATGTAACAAAATTGCCCCTCTACGTCATTGATTCAAGTCTTATGCGTATACGATTTCATACATTTAAAAAAGCTACAAATTTTAGGGGTTTCAAAATTTTCTACAGTCGTTACACTAACCGGCAGTCGTGTAACTATTTCATGTATTTTAGGGAGGCTCGATTTTTAATAAATTTCAGTAGACCATCTTCGACTGGCGTTACTTGCCGTTGGAAATTCACTGTACCCAAGGGACAACGTATTAAATTGGAATTTATGAATTTGCAGGACTTAAAAGGCCAACGTTTAATCAGGTAGTTATTAGATTTGAAATTGGTTCTCAGCTTTAATATTTTTTCTTGTTTTTCTATTCCTCTTAATCCCTAATAGACCTCCGCAGTTTAGTGTTTACAATGATTTTGATTCGATATCAGAAATTATTAGTTTCGATGCCAACACTTATAATGCCAGTTATATAATACAGTCCAGCGATAATATGATGTTGTTGAAGGTTTTCACGCCTCAAAATCAAACCCCTTTAAAATCAATCACAGCTCGCTATAGTTCCGATAATTTATCAAACTGTCCGCGGGACATCGGAGAAGGTGATGTGGATGGAGAGATTTTGCTAAGTGACAGCGAACCAGAATTCAGTACTAATTATTATTGTCGCATTAGGATACGGCTTACTGGTCAAGAGACCTTGATTATTACATTAAAAAGCTTGGAGCTATATAGTGAAGAATATTATCTATATCCATTAGGAATACGCGATTCTACCGGTCTCACACAGTATTACGGCAATCTAACTGACATTGCAATACCGATGCAATCGTCACCTAACGAATTCGCTTCTATAACAATTTTAAATAGCCGCCTCGTAATATTGCATAAACTGAATATGAAATATCGACGTTACTCTTGTGGTAGCCTTAGGGATTTAAATAATGGCGCCGTCATAAACTATCCACAGTTTGCTGCCACCGATGGTTCCAACATTGTCTGCGTATGGTCTCTGAGAAGATATTTAAGAATAAATGGAGGAGCAGGTCTCGAATATCGTTTAACTGGGAATTTTAGCTTTTCTAATAACTGCGATCAAGAATACATAGAAATTTTCACTGGTGCGCTGAGGAAAAACAATCCTGCAATACGAATTTGTCGTGACAATGCTGCTGAATTTGAATCGTTTCCTCTGAAAAATCGTCTTAATCATGTCGTGTATAATTCGCAAAATTATAGGACACAGGCCGATGCTTTCCATATACGGCTTATGAAAGATTTAGGTTGTGGTACTAAGAGCAAAGTTATGAGCAATCAACAATTGGCCGTCAGCAAAGATTTGTATCAAAATAATAAAGAATGTTCCTGGGAGTTCTTCACATTGCCTGGATATTATCTTAGTGTTAAATTCAATGGTAGATTTTTTATTGAAGATTTTGTTAATTGCACTAAGGATTACTTAGAGATACAACGTTTAGCAGAAGGACTGTGGATACCCGTAGTCCGTCTTTGTGGTCGAGAAGTCTACAGCCAGTATAATTTTACGGTTAGCCACATACAAATTATATTTCGTACCGACGAGTCAGTTACCGGAGATGGTTTCAATCTTGAAGTGCAAGCTAATTGCTTGGTTGCATTCAATGTAACGTCGGAGTTGCAAATTATAAGGAATCCTCCCTCAGATGCAATTGGTCCTACAGGCGGGCACTGCGAGTATACATTCCTTGCAGCTAAGAAAACCCATCTCTTCAGCGTTCGCGTTGTTATAGAGAACAATCACCTTTCAAATCTTGGCCGTTTTGAAGCACAAAACAAATGTCGCTTAGGTTATTTTGTATCATTTAAAAAACTTGAAAATAAAACGGAAAAGGCCGGGGACAGACTTTGCATAGGAAATTTTGAATTACGCTCCTATGAATATTTGCGTCTATCTTACGAAGCATCGACCTTTATTAGATTCAGAATCGAGTTCTCTTATGACGATTGCGGTGGCAATATAACTCGTCCTTCCGTCGTACATTCATTAAAACACGAAACGGACAATAGCTATGCGGACAACATGAATTGTATTTGGTATATTACTGCGCCGCCTGAGCATTCAATAGCTGTGCGCTTTAAATATTTTGTAACCGAAGAGAAGTACGATTATGTGGCCATTTATGCGGGTCCCAGTATACAAAGCGATAAATTGCTTACAAAATTAACTGGCGATCATACCACGGATCCACCTACAATTGTTGTGGATCGTAATCAAGCTGTATTAGCTGCTGTTTCGGATTCCTCCAGTTCAAAGGAAGGCTTTGAAGCAAAAATAGTTTTCCTCACTAATTGCAATGAACGTATTACGCTGACTGATGGAAACTCGCCGGTTACATTAACCCGTGATTTCAAATTTAATGCAACGACTGAATATCTTTGCCAATATCGTATAACAGCACCCAAAGGCTATCAAACGCACATTGATGTTCGACGTATACAATTGAACGGCTTGGATACGGATTGCAATTTGTCCACGGGCAAATGTTCTGCGCAATGCAATTATATTGAAATTTTTGACGGTATTGACGGCGAAAAAGCATCAATGGGTAAATTTTGCTCGGCACTTATAACGAATCGTACACTTATCAGCTCGTTGGAGGATGTTTTCATGGAGTTGAATGCTCCTTTCTCAGGTCAATACAGTTTCGAAGTAATTTTGTCGATGGAAAAATCCATATGTGGTGACTTTCAAAATTATGAATTTAGTGAAAACGAGGTTAGATGGAAAAGTTTAGCTTGTTCATCGAATTTATATAAAATTCTTTTATTGTGATAGATATTAACGTTAACATTTCCACCTAAAGCGATTGGCGATGCCAATTACCCGTCCAGCACTCATTGCCAATGGCGTTTTAAAACTAAAAATTCGCTTAAGGTTCACATCAATTTTCTACAACTACAGAATGCATCGCAGATTACTGGCAAATGTATCGATTACGTGCAGTTCAAAGGATACATGGTTAGCTCATCTTTATGGCCCAATGTTGATTTAAAAAATTGCATATCACTGTTCTTCGTTTCAGAGCTCCATATTTTTGTGTGGACATCTTAACAACTTCAATCTGACTGTATCCAAATCAAGAAATTCAATTACCGAAATAATATTTCGCAGCGATGAGTCTGTAGAGGACCGCGGCTTTCAGCTGAGTGCCACTCAACAAGATGGTAAAGGAAGTTATTAATGAAAAAATCCTTCGGCGTGGAACTTTAACCGCTCTTTTCGCTTGCAGCTTGCAATATCACCTATAGCGGACCGAACGGTATGATCATTTATAATAATTTTCAGCCGAGTGAAAAATTTTGCGAAGATATAATAAGAGTACCGGATACGCATACCGTGAACTTATACTTACCCCCCATCTTCTTTAAAAGCAGTAATTGTACGAAAATTCATCTTTTAGTGAGTAGTACCCCAAATCGGAATTTTTAAGTCAATTTGATCGTGTTGTATTCATTAAGGTTTCTTGATTCAGGTTCTTGATTTCTACACAAATCGCGAACTTCTGAGGCAATGTGCTACTGAATATAGCTACAAGCGCTTAAATACAAACACAAGCGCTATTCGTTTATTAGTCGGAGAATTTGCTACCGTACATGTATCGTACGTTGCAAGTGACCGCACTTTACCTCCTGGTTGTGGTGGTAAATTGCAAACAATTACTGGGTTGTTCGCGAATCCTTCCTATAATGAACGTAACTATTCGGATTGTCGGTGGGAAATTGAAGTTCCTGCACCAAATACGATCAATATTTTCTTTACTCGTAAGTAGTTATTTAAACGATGTTGCGAAAAAAAACAGAAAAATGAACAAAATTATTAACTCTATCAAGTCTCGCATCACATATGAAGTTACAGTGCGCGCTTTATTATATTATAAACGCAAGACGATTTGATTTACTTTAATATAAATCACGTCTTACACTTTAAACCGTATTCATTAGTAAAACAGTTTATAATTTATTCAGTACGTATATACATATATATATATATATATATATATATATAATGGAAATTCGTTTTATAAACTTGGAGTTTGTAAAAGTTAATCATTATCTACACGGGGGTTAGGTTTTCTCTGCTTGTTTGTTTGTTTGTTTTTTGCTTACCTTTTTGTTTCTTTAAAATCTATTCTAGAATTCAATATGGGTACGATTACGAATTGTCAATGGGATTACGTGCAAATTATTGATATATTACCGGATGATACAGAGGTATTAAAGAATACTTACTGCGGTTCGGATCGGCCAGATCATCAGCGTTCGGCCAGTAATCGCGTGGCAATTGTAGCGAAAAAGTCACCCAATTTTGATGGTACAGGATGGGTAATTGGTTACGAGCTTAGGAGTGACATGAATTTAAATGTGTTTGCGGGCGCCGAGGAATTCGCGGACGACAAACGATTTGGCTAAATTGTCTTATAGTCATGTGATTTTTTTATTCATATATTATAATAAATGACTAACATTACATTATTTAATTGCCAATAGTTTACATAAATAAATAATTACTCATATTCAGTGTATATTTTTAACAAATTTCTTTTAAATCTTCTTAAGTTTATGAAAACTAATGTAAATATTTACATAAAAATTTGAAAAAAAAAATTTCTTTTTCATTTGTTTTAAATTATAATTATTTTCCTTTTAATTACATATTAAGCTAAGTTAACCCACTAAATAATTGATATGGTTTTCTGTGATGTTTCATTGTGGAATTTTCTTTAAATTAAACTACAGTTTAAAATTGTAGCAATTTTTTTATTTTTTTATTTTTTTTCTAACTTCCTTTCTTTGTTCTATCCACCACCACAGAAGACAAGTTTATGCTAAATTCTGTTGCTTTGTATTCTTCACCTACTCTCCTGATTACTATCAAATTCGTAGCCTTGTGGTCCTCTACTTTCTGCACTTTTTTACTTTGCTACTTAAAAAAAAAAAGTGTTTATAAACATCTTAGGAACGGATTGAAATACATCTAAAAGTAGCTGATGTTGAAAAGAGAAAAATTTACGGACAAACTCTCTCTTAAGAAAGATGAGTGAATGAATACCACTCATACAAAATATCTTATTCTCAATAGATTTGAATGTTTTTGTTATTTTCCCCAAAACCGCTAGCAGATGATGTCTGCGTTATTCAGTTTGTTACAAAAATACACCGCAAATACTTAGATAAGCGTAAAGCCTTTTAAATCCTTGCGCCTAACTATGTTTCCAACTCCTGGAACTTGTACAATGTGTGTCCGCAAATTTGAATGTTTCAATACGAATAACAATAACGATGAGTTGTGGTGATGATCTCATCTAAATTTGAATTAAAACAAGTAAGAAAATTATATTTGGACGTGACCGAATCTGTTATACCCATCACCGTGATCCTAAAAAAAAAAAAAAAAAAAAAAAAAAAAAAAAAAAAAAAAAA